ACTAGCCCCACTTGCCCCGATTGATTCGATCGGACCGTACAAGGGGGTGGGAGGAACCTCGAGTTGCGCGCTCAAGCCAGCCTTGCGAATGGCCCAACCCTCAAGTCTCGACCACCATGGATAATCGTCAGGGAGAGAGTCGTCACCCTCATAGCCCTCGGGGTCAGGGAGCGTCTCCTTGACCGCCTCACGGTCGAGCTTCCCCTCAAACTCGGACCCCGACACCACCGCCTCCCATGTGGCAAATGTATGCTCGAAGTACTGAAGGGTGGCGTGGCAGAGCTTATCGAGGAAGGCAGGGGAGTTGCAGAAAGCCTTAACGACCTCTTGGCGGTAGGTCTCGAGAAAGATAGTGCCTGTGGGGGACTTCAAGAAGGTCCTACGTTCCTCCTCGATGTCGTTCTCTCTCTCGACCATACACTCATCACGAGCCTTGTCGAGGTCATTCTTGAGCTTGTCATTCAGATGCCGGAACACAGCCTTATCGGCCTTCAGCTTGTCGACAAGGGCCTTCGAGGCCTCCAAATCCTCTTTCAGCGCCTCGATTTCCTGGCGCTGAGCCTCACACTTGTCCTCGAGGGACTTAGTGGAGATGGCGGGTGCCTTACTCCCCTCCTCAAGGCAAGGAAGCGCTGCAGCCAGAAACTACGAAAAAGCATTGGAGATAGATGAGAAAAAGATGAATCAAGCTTAAAGAAAAATGAAAATATCAAAGTCGACTGAAGGATAGGAAAAATACCCGGGAGAGACACTGAATAGCGTAGTTTGAACGCTCATACAAGTTCCCCTCGACACGCTCCTTGTCGTCCTCGGGGATGAGTGAGTTGAGGTACTTAGCCACCTGGTACGGCTCCGGATGATTCCAGAGCCGAGAAGGCATTTTGACCGTCGCGTCCATGATGGTGATGGGGAAGGGGGCCTACTTCTCAACCGCCTTTCCTTTTCCCTTGTCGACCTTGCGACGCTTCAGGTCGTCGGGGATAAGGATGGCGGCCCGATCGGCTTGGGTCCTCTTGCGGGAAACGGGGCCCGATGATTTGTGTTTGGCAGCACTAGGGTTCTCAACCCTAGATTTTTGAGTTGTTGCGGTGGCAGGCCTCGACCCGGATCCGCCTGAGGGTCTAAGGGGAGGAGCAGAACCGCCGGTCGATTGGCCGGTCGGTTGATTCTTCTTCAGCTCAAAACGTTTGAGTGCCTTAATTGAAACATAACAGGAGAAAGTTAGCATAAAAACAACAATTAACAGTCATGACGCGAATAATCAAAATCTATAAACAGTTACACAAGAAGGAACATTAGTAGCTTACGAGGATCATCGAGACGAGGAAGATCCTCGTAAATGACGATTCGGGCATGATTGACCAATTCACGGTCCTTTATTAACTGACGGGCACTATATGTATGTTTATTGAGCTCCGTCAAGAGAGTGGAAAACTCGTGGGAATGAGGCCGTTTATTTTGTTTCACTTTCGAGGTAATCCATTTATTCACATAAGGATACATACCGGCTGCGGGTCGAATAAAGACGTATTTCGATTTCCATTCAGTACCATTGGAGGAAAGATCGGTAAGAAAAGTGACACCGGCACGACGACCCAAGCAATGGGCACCCTTGGAAAGTCGATAGCCGTAACAGTAAAAGAAAAACTCGGGCGAGAAGAATTTAAGTACTATTCGGGAGACGACTATAAAGGCTATCATAATGCGAATGGCGTTTGGAGAAAATTGATTTATTGGAACATTATACAAGTTACTTATCAGCAAGAGCTCGTCTTGGATGGGAAAGCGAAGGCCGAAGACGACTTGGTCTATGAAGAACGTATGACAGCCGGGAGGGGGATGGGCAAAATCGTCGTTAGGACCTGGGGCGACCAACTCCCAGTCAAAAGGAAGCCCACTAAATTTTCTGAAGCCCTCGACCTCAACTGTAGAGGCATAACAAAAAGGATTTAGAACAGCTAATCTAGCCAAGGGCAAGCTATCGATACAGTATTCGGAGAGTCGAGAAGAGGAGCAACTATTGGTACAGATACAGGACTCGTTCTATATACAGGGATATCTAAAAACCTAAGGGGTATACCTCGAGGAATGAGGTCGAGACGAGGGGAGCCTCCTCGAGAAGGGCTCTTCAAAGTATCGACCAAACCGCCCGCCAAGAGCGCTTGGTCGTACTCATTCCAGTCGACGCTGGAAGCAGAAGCATGAGAGGAAGAAGCGCGAAGAGGCGCCATAACCATCTTATAACCGGTCACTTCAACGGAATCAGAACTTGAACCCTCATCGATTTGGTGGGCATCCTCGTTGATTTGGCGACCGAGGGAGCCAGAGAGAGGGGACGAGTCGAAAGCTATAGAGAAGAAAAGAAAATAAAAGGTTGGAATTAGCGAAGCCATGGGATAATACAATAGACACAACAAGAAGAGTCGACTTCCAAAAGTCATAGAAAGACGACTCGACTTATGTCAATGCCAAAAGAAAACAAGGAAGCCCACAAGTCATAACTCAGTCGATTCGACAAGAGATAGACCCGCAAGTCGACATGTGTCGATTAAGAGAATAACAAAGAAATGGTAGAGAAAGAAAAGAGAAGGTCACCATCCCAGAAGTCGACAATCAACAAAGCAAAAAACAACAACTCCAAGCAAAACATGCACAATCAAAGATCCAACACAAAATTCGCGAAAAGAGTTTGAAGAACATGGAAGAACACACAGGAATTTCAAAACCCAGAAAAATTGAAAAAGGGAAAAACCGACGGAAAATTGAGAGGTAAAAGAAAATAGTAAACTTAAACATGATGGTTTGGTTGATGGGAACTCTGAACGAAATAAAAGTCGTCGGAAGTGGAAAGCGTCGGTGAAGCCAAAACCCGCAGATCGTCGGAAAGCTTGAAGGAATTTGAGAGAGAACGAGAAGTTTAAGAATGCGAAAAGTGTTCTGAGGAAAACCTGAAGTATATTTATACAGGGGGATGATAGACGCTGATCATTGGATCAGCAGAAGAACCAACAATCCTGATGAGGCGCGGAACATGAAGAGTCGGCGGTTGAGGTGACGCGCGTCGCTTCAGAATTTTTAAAATTTGAAATTCAAAAAGGGGTCTGTCAGAGTGTCACACTTATGCGAATAAGCAATCATAAGGGGTTGACGTGTTCCTCAATCAACTGACGAGACGAGTTATAGAAGACGCAAGTACGAGCAAGTATGGCAGGAAGACGNTGAAAATTTCTGAAAAGGTTGGAAGTTTGAAAGTGATATCAAAAGTGTAGTGATATAGCTATATAAAGATATACCCAGCCCAAAGGCTCCCTACTCGACCGAATAATGGCTCAAACCGATTCGTCATGTCGACACGGACCCGTCAATATGTTGAAGTCGATTCCTCTAGGTCGACTCTTAACAAGGTCGATAACGAGAAGTGGCAGATGCCATACAAGTCGACTCTTGGAAGTCGACATCGATCTGAGAAAACCAATAAGAGCGTAGCCTCTGAATAACCAAAAATTCTGGGTCGACTTGTTTATACTCGAGGTCGACTCCTTGTACCTCGAGACGAGAGGCATTCCGACGACTCTTTACACTTGGTATATTTCTTGGAACCTCTTGACCATTAATGGATAAGAAGGAATCTTGAGATGACTCAGCAGGGAGGGGAGATGAATCGACTGGGCCATTTTGGACCTTTTAGGTCCACTGACTTGGGTATTTCGGGTACTTCAGGTAAGTATTCACTCTTATATAAAGGAGATGAGGTAACCCCAAACCCTAACTCTCATTCATTCCACACTCTCCTCATAGCTGCTGCGCAGCATCACTTCATCACTCTCATGCTGACTTTAGCGTCGGAGGCTCTATGCCGGAAACACCTCCGGCGTTGAGTTTTTGCAGGTATTCTCGCGGTCTAACAACGATTCAGAGGCGGTTCAAGCAGATCTGAGCTCAAATCCACCGGTTCTCTTCAGATCTAGAAGTAGACCCATCATGTAGAAAAATTGAAATTGAAGAAAGATATATTTACAAGAAGAGACAGTGAGATAGTAGAAAGGAGAGGTCTATAAGAATTGTAGGATGAGAGGGAATTGGAAAGTTAGATGAACATTAGTACTAATAAAGAGGAGAAAATGAGATTTTGCGCCTTTTCGAGTCAGTTGATTTGATTTCTTAGGCATTGATTTTGGTATAAAAAATGATGAGGATTGCAAGCGCTAGGGCCACGTCATCTCCACACATAGAGTCAATTCGTCCAGAGTGTGAGGACTAGACGATATAGTTTGCTATATCAACTTGATCATAATAAGTAAAATCTATTTTGGGATGGGGAAGCAAAGTTTACGGAGGTTAAATTGTGGTAAGAAGGTATTTATCCAACTCTAGCTAGAGGGGATCGCTGGTGATCAGCTCTAGCTAGGGTCTGGTGATGACCTAAATATGCCCGAGCTAGGCGAGAGCACTGGTGACTAGCTCGAGCTAAGGTCCAAGGATGACCTAACTATGCTTGAGCTGGAGGGAATTGCTGGTGATTAAGTCGAGTTAAGATCTAAAGATGACCTAACTATACTCGAGTTTGAGGAAATTTTGGAGACAAGGTTTAAATGGTCAATACTGATGATGGAGACGAGGCCTATTGAAATTCGAGGGCGAATCCTCCTCAACCCGGGGAGGATGATGGAGACGTGGCCGCATTGTCATTTCTGCAGAAATATGACCGTCTCCGAGTCTAGATTATTTATTTTACGGTCTTTGTCATTGGATGGATTTTTAGCTATTATTATTTTCAGCTATGGTATTTTTATTAGTGTGGTAGTTAATTATATAAGAGGGCTTTTATTTTGAGTAGTTGAAGAGTAGTGGCCTCTTCTTATATGTACCCACTCAGTGAACAGATTGAGGGAGTTATCGTATTATCATTTTGAGAAAATAGTGCACAGTTCTTGTTCTTATTCCCTTTCATATACATCCTCCACATTAGTTGGTATCAGCAGACCAGCCGACGATCCACGATGCCGCCGAAGAAGAATAATGTCGTGAATGACAACTCCGTTGACGAGCGATCTCAGAGAATCGACGACCGTTTTCACGGAATTGATGAACGATTTACGGATCTCTCGACGGGAATCAATGAATTACAACTGACAACCATGATGGACGAGATGCATCGAAATCGCGACGTGGGTGGCCTGGCACTCGCGAGGGGCAACGCGGTGGTCGGAGAGGTCGGGGTTTTAGCGGGGCTCCCCGCCGACGATCGCCACCACCACCGCCGACCAGTGATGACTCCGACGACACCTTGACAGTCGACAATCCTTTCGCTGATAGAGGGTTAGGGTTTCGAGATCATGGTGGCGACAAGAAAGGGTTTGAGCAGGGATGGCGTGACGAGGCTTCTGGCCACCACGCGAGAGGTCCATGGCCAGCTGGAGTGGAGATGGAGGTCGACGGGTTTTTTCGTCGAGGGTTGCCTATGTCCGACGATGACGGGTTTGAGGAAGATGGAGGTGATCGACATTGGGGTCACGGGCCTAGGGCAGCATCAGGGTTCCACCAGCACGGTCATTTCGGTTATGCCGATGGGGCAGACGACACTTGGCAGCAGCGGAGTGAGGGTCAGCGCCCGATAGAAGGTGGCGAGGACTCGCGTTGGGAGTCAGGGTTTCGGGTTGACATCCCGGAATTTCATGGTAGTGTGGAGTCGGACGATTTTGTGGATTGATGGGCCACAGTGGAATCGGTGTTGGCATTTAAGGCGGTCCCAGAAGATAAGCGTGTTGCATTCATCACTACTCGCTTTCGTGGTCGAGCTGCGACTTGGTGGATGCATATTACGAGCATGCGGCATCGTCAAGGGAAATCTCCGACTATTTCATGGATGAAATTCCGTAAGTATGTGGAGGATGAGTTTTTGCCCTTTAATTATGACAGTGTCGTATATCAGCAGCTGCATAACTTGAGACAGGGAACTCATTCAGTTGATGACTATACGAACATATTTTATCAGCTTCTGAATCGTGTTGAGCTATGGGAGACAAAGTCCCAGTTGATTTCACGGTATGTTAGTGGGTTGCGCGTAGCCATATAGGACATGTTAAATCTTGTGCGGCCGGAGTCTGTCTCGGATGCACATCAAAGAGCCCGGCTTGTCGAGCAGCAGTTAGCTCGAAAAACAGGCTCGACATTTCTCTCTACCACGTGAGCAGGACCATCTACCGGTGGGATACAACAACAAGGCCGCTTTTTACCGTCTTCGGGTACCGGAGCTAGCCAACCGACGGCAGCCGGGCGATTTCCGGTGGTTGGGACCGGACCACAGCGGCAGCCGGGGATAGGTGGGCCGCCGCCAGCGGCGACGGGGCAGCGTATGGGTGGAGGTCTGTGGTGTTTTGGTTGCGGTGAGCTCGGACACCGCCAATCGGCCTGTCCACAGGGCTCGACCTCTTGTGGGTTATTTATTGAGGATGGTGGAGAACAAGAGGTGTCGGCAGATTACGAGGGTCCACCTGTTTTTGATGTTGAGCCCGGTTTGAGCGAAGAACATCATAGGGGGGATATGGGCTCGGCACTGGTCCTTCGTAGGGTGTGTTTGACACCCCGTTCTCCCGATGATGAGCCTGTTGAACGTCATCAAATTTTCGAGTCCACTTGCACCATTGACAACAAGGTATGCCGCTTTATTATTGACTCTGGTCCGTCTGAAAATGTTATATCACAGGAGACGGTGGACAAATTGAGACTTTCGAGCGAGCCACATCCTAACCTATACAAGTTGGTCTGGATTCACCGTGACCGTGCGATTACTGTTAACCGACGGGCTCTTGTCTCATTATCCATTGGGGTGACGTACTGGGACCAAGTGTGGTGCAATGTAGTGCCTATGGATGCATGCCACTTGTTGCTCGGCAGACCATGGCAGTATGACATAGCTGCTACTCTCGACTGCAGACGTAACACTTACAGCTTCACTTTCGCCGGTGTTCGGATTACTTCGCATCCGAGTCCTCTACATCCTTCACCACCCTCTAGTTCTTCAACTGTCCTTTTTCTTTATCGGGCAGCCTTTGAGAGCGAGATGCATGCGGCACCATTTGTTCTTTTGGTGACTGGGTCAGACACTAATGGAGACCAGGAAATGGCCGTGGCTATTCAGTCTTTGCTTTCAGAGTTTGCTGATGTTTTTCCTTTGGAGCTTCCTTCCAGGTTACCACCACTTCGGGATATTCAACATCAGATTGACCTGATTCCGGGGGCTTCGTTGCCGAACCGTCCCCACTACTGAATGAGCCCGATAGAACACGAGGAACTGCGGCGTCAGGTAGAGGAGCTCCTCTAGCGTGGTGTTGTTCGCCGGAGTCTGAGTCCATGTACAGTACCGGCCATGTTGATCCCGAAGAAAGACAGAGCATGGCGTATGTGCGTAGACAGTCGGGTCATCAACAAAATTACTGTCAGGTATCACTTTCCTATTCCTCGTTTAGATGACATGCTTGATCAGCTGCACGGTGCCACTGTCTTTACCAAACTAGATCTTTGTAGTGGGTATCACCAGATTCGAATTAGGCCAGGCGATAGGGATGGCAATGGGCCAGGTCGGGCCGGGTAGTTACGTACCTGTTCGTTCCATTTTTGTTGTGTTTTCCATGGTCATTTTATGTTTATTCTCCCATCTTTTAGGTATGTTTTATTTATTGTTGAGTCCGTTTCGTTAGTTTGTGGTTTGTTCGTTGTTTGGTTTGTTTTCCCGTTTGTTTTTTCTCTTTCTTCGTGTTTTTTCTTGTGTATTGTGGTGCGTAGGTTCGATGGGTTACTTGACTTTTCGGTGGAAGGAGTTAGCGCTCGTGCGAAGAGGCTGAAATCGGGACAAGGAAGTGAAAAACAGGACCCAAAACGCAAGGGAGAAAAATCTAGACTGCAGCACAAACTCGCGGCAGCGGAGCACCAAGTCGCGGCCGCGGAAGGTCGGGTCGCGGCCGCGGGATTTCCTTCGCCGCGGCCGCGGCGAACAAAACAGCGACAGTCGGCTCAACCATTCTGCCCTGAAATCTCGCGGCCGCGGGACAAGTCGCGGCCGCGGAGCTCCAAGTCGCGGCCGCGAGATAGCAAGTCGCGGCCGCGAGATTACGAATTCCCAGTTTTTTTTTATAGGGACATTTGTGCCCAAAAATCCGGGGGATCATGTGGCTAGTGGGAAGAATACCATAGGGAAGGGGAAAGACATGTTCTTTGGTCCACTTTGAAGTTCCCAAAGGTGTTTTTGGACTTGAAAAAAAAAAACATTTTTTCTTTACCTTCATCTTCATCTTCATTCTCATCTTCTCCATCTTCTCTCTACACTCTCTCTACATTTTTCCTTTGGTTCACTTGTTTTTTTCTTTCAAGCTTTCATGTGTTAATGTATGTTTGAGGAGATAATCTTGGAGACTCTTTGGCATTGTTATTGGATTGGAGTTGTAAGACATTGAATTAAATTTCTAGTAAGTTTTTCTTTTCATTTTGTTATGGAGATGAATGCTTACATTGAATTTATTTCTTGTGTTATTCTTGCCATGAGTAGCTAAGTTGATTGCTAGGGTAAGGGGATGATTGTTCCGGTTTAATCTCGTTGATATGTTTGTTATTTACTCAATCTTCTCGAGTTTTATTGATAATAATGATTAAATGTTTGATCACCATTGCAATCTAATTAATCGACTTCAAAACAGAGAGGGGAGAAGCCGGTGGAATTTGGCTCGTTTAGAGTAGGCATAACCGGAGACGTGTTGTCTATGTGTTAATTGTTTAGATTGATTGCTCGTTTATGTTTGATTTATCTACCGCGAAATGCTATGATGGTTATAACGTTAAATGAGTGTATGAGTCGAGGCCTTTAACCGAGTATCTAAATTTTATTGAAGTGAGATTGAACCGGAGACGATTATCCCCGATACCCTAGCTCGTTCGTCATCGTTAAATCGTACTTGTGTTGAAAATTGTCTATTTGTTTTCTTTGTGTTATTCTCGTTAGTAATTTATTTTCTCGTCAATATAAAAAACCCTCGAAAACTTGGATTAGAGTGTTTAGGTGTAATTTACATTCCCGTGTGATTGAATAACGTGCGATTGTATCCGGCTAACCTTCCTTGAGAACACGACCCGGTGTTCGAATCCTTTGATTCTACTCCGGTAAAAACTTCAACTTCAAAATGGCGCCGTTGCCGGGGAAGGTTTAGGATTACGATTGTGCGCTATTTATTTTGTTTCCGTGTTTCTCTTTATTTCTTTTTGGTTTTTCGTGAGTGTATATATCTTTGATAGTTGATTTCATTTTTTCGCTCGTTTGTTAGCGGGTGCTCGTGACGCGTTGTTTGTCTTTGTTTATGCGTACTAGGAGTGGTCGTGTATTCAATTCAAACGACGAAACCGTTCAACGGGAATTACGAGACTTGCTAGCCAATCTTTCTTTGGAACCACGAGATTCGACCGAGCAAGTAAACATGGCCCGTCAAGAGGAAGCGGAGGTGAACAACCCCCCACGATACCTTCTTCGAGACTTAGCTCAACCGATGATTGGGCCGGTGACTTCTTGTATTCGGCTCGGACCGGCGGCCCGGAACTATGAACTCAAAACGATCCATTACAACCAATTACCTTCGTTCCACGGCCTTCCAAACGAGGACCCACTCCACTTCATCCGGGAGTTCTACAAGGTGCTCCAAACCTTTCCACTCCACGGATTGAACGAAGATCAATTAAAGATGCGGTGCTTCCCGGAGACACTTAAGGACCGAGCCAAGGCCTGGTTCATGACACTTGCCCCCGACTCCCTCACTACTTGGGAGCAAGTGTACTCGAAGTTCATCGGGAGGTACTACTCCCACCAAAAGACTCAAGAGTTGAGGTCCCAAATCGTCTCTTTTGCCCAACAACCGAACGAGCCTCTTCACGAGGCGTGGGAGCGTTTCAAGGACCTCCAACGACAATGCCCGCACCACAATTTTCCGCCGGCCCTATTGATGAATAGCTTCTATGACTCACTCCACCAAAATCTCCAATACATGGTGGACAACGCGGCCGGAGGAGATGTGGGAGCGAAAACGGCCGAAGAGATGATGGAAATTTTCGAGACGATGAGTGCTAACTCGTCTCAAAAGAGTAGTCGAGGAAAAAGGGCAATGGTGAATGAAGTGGCTCCCGGACAAGACATGATCGCCCATCAAATAGCCGAGCTTGCGGAGCAAATGAGAATACTTAATTCGAGAGGAGTCCAACCGGCACAAACCATGGCGGTAGAGACATGTGGGACGTGTGGTGTTCAAGGGCACCGATCACAAGTGTGTCCTTCCGCTTTCGACCAAGACTTCGGGGAGCAATACGAAGATGCCAATGCTCTCCAAGGCTATCAAAATCGGCCGATAAACGATCCATACTCGAATACATACAACCCGGGGTGGAGAAATCACCCCAACTTTTCGTGGTCCAACAACAACAATGTGCAACAACACACCCAACAACCCCGACCACACTTCATGCAACAACCGAACCGTCCCAACTTTGCACCCCAACAACACATGAGACCCAATTTCCATCAACAACAACAACCACAATGGGCCCCAATGGGGGGTATGCAAGCTCAAGGTGCCGACCCGAGCTCCTCCGCCCAAGACGACAAACTCGATCGGATCCTCCAATTCATGATGAACACCGAATCGACTATCAAGCGGTTAGAGACGCAAATAGGCCAACTCACCACGAGAGTTGGAAACTTGGAGGCCGAATCCGACAAGAAGAAACTCCCGAGCCAACCCGAACAAGCTAAGGCTATTACGGTATTGAGGAGTGGGAAAGTCGTCGACAACCATGTGGAGATGCCCGATGCGGATGACACAAGGCCAACCGACCAAACCGGGGACGTGATCGATGATAAGGAGAAGAGCCCGACGAAGCCAACGGAGGACCCGATCCTACACAAGTCTCCGAATCCATACAAACCACGCATTCCTTTCCCGAGCCGCCTTCGGGATGACAAGAAGGAGAAACAATTTCGGGACCTCTACGATATGCTCTCGAAGGTCAATGTCAACCTACCCCTCCTTGATGTGATTAAAACTATGCCGTTGTACGTGAAATTTTTCAAGGATTTGGTGACGAAGAAAAGGAAGTTCGGGGAAGGGGAAAAGGTTGTGGTGTACGAGGCAGCGAGTGCTATGCATCATGACCTTCCGAGGAAGGAACGTGACCCCGGTGGTTTCATTATCAAGATTGCACTCGGAAATGGGAAGGAAGCTTCGGGGATGCTTGACCTCGGGGCGGGGATCAACCTTATGCCGTTCTCAATCTTCCAAAGACTTGGCCTCGGGGACTTGAGGCCAACTCGCATGTGCCTCCAACTTGCCGACCGGTCGGTTAGGTACCCCAAAGGAGTTGTGGAAGATGTCCTTGTCCGAGTGGGAAAGCTCATTGTCCCCGTCGACTTTGTCATTCTAGATGTGGGGGACGTGCACGAGAACGGGAAGGACCACACCATTTTGCTCGGAGGACCGTTCATGGCCACCACCAACACCCTTATCGATGTGAAGAACGGGACCTTGATGATGACGGTTTTGGGAGAGACCGTGTCGATTTCCGTTCGAAATGCCACCTCGGCACCTTCGGCGAATTTCATCGAGGAGTGTGCACTTCTCGATATGGTGGACCCCATAGTTGAAGAGATGACCACCCGACACTTTGAAGAGAGGACCACGCCCGACCTAGACGAGAAAGGTGAACCAACCGTTGACCTATTCGAAGCCGACCAACCACGAACACAAGAACCACCCTTGGAGCTCAAGGAACTACCGCGACACCTCAAGTACGTGTTCCTAGACGAAGAGAAGCTCAAACCGGTTATCATATTTGCCGAGCTTGACCGAGACGAAGAGAAGGAGCTCATTGAGGTACTTAAGAAGAATCAAAGAGCTATTGGGTGGAGCCTTGGAGACCTCAAGGGAATTAGCCCTTCCACATGCATGCACCGGATCGTTCTAGAAGACGGGGCCAAGCCATTTCGGGATAGCCAACGGCGGCTCAACCCGAACATGATGGAGGTTGTTAAAAAAGAAGTGCTAAAACTCTATTCCGAGGGACTTATCTTTCCGGTGGCCGATAGCGAATGGGTGAGCCCGATTCATGTGGTGCCCAAGAAGGGGGGCATTACCGTGATCGAAAATGACAAGAAGGAGTTGATCCCCACCCGCAACACTACCGGGTGGAGAATGTGCATAGACTACCGGCGACTCAATGCCGTCACAAAGAAAGACCATT